TATAGTTTTATCTTTTTCCAAATTTTGCAGATTTTTTAATAAGATTTTAATATAAATTAACCAAGTTTTACTTTTACTATTTAAACATCTATCTAAACTCTGGATTTTGTCTAGTAACTTTAGTATAAGCAATAAAAACAATTTTATAATTGTCATAATTTTTGATTAATCAAATAACAAAATTATTTATGTAGAAAAATATGATTCATAGGTCTTATTGGTTCTTTAAATTAAAAAGAAAAGTTGCATTCTATTTGTATTTTTCATTTGATATTTTGAATTAATATTTTACTTTTATCTTTAAGAAATCTCTATTTTTTGTTAAGTGATGTAAAAAGATCTATAAAATGATTTATATAATTGATTTATAGAATTTATAGAATTGATCTATCAGATGATTTATAATAATCTACATATAATATAAAAAATAAAATAGTTAATATAGTTAATATATTTGATATATTTAACATATTTGAAATATTTGAAATCTTTAATATATTTAATTTATTTAATATAGTTAATTTGTTATTAAAAATATAAATACAGTTAAAGATGCCAGCCAAAACTCTCTCAAAATAATTTCGTCATATTTCTTACTATGTTTTTAATATAGTTTCAGCTAATTTCGGGTTTTGGGATTTCATCGTACTCCTCACTATATTTTAATATAGTTTCGGCTGTTTATTAATTGCCTTTTTTGAGTTTTGTCTCTCATCTTTAAATACAATAAATTAAAACTTATAGCAAAAGTTAGAATCTAACAGCTATATGTAATTAACAATTTTTTAAACATCTTTAAGAAACTATATATTTTTCTTTTCATTATATTTGTTTCTTTTCTTTTCTTTTATATTATTATCAATAAATATTTTCCAAATTAAATACATTTCTTTATGAATCTTAGTATTTATATAAACTTCTTGTTAAATGTGAGCTAAAAAAATCTTAGAAAACTAAATTAATCTATTATGTAAACTATAAAAGAATCAACTCTTAACATCCTATTTAATTGTAATGATCTACCAAATTGCATATTAACAGTAATTTAAGCTTGATAATTTGTTTGTTTATCATGATTCTTCAAGATCTTGTTTCTTTTCTCTAAGATCTTATTTTTTTTTCAAGGTCTCATTTATAATTGTTATTTCCTAAAAATCAATATATTATTATGTGAAACAGTGAAACAGGTGACATTATTTAAGGTTACTTACTAAACATACATTTGATTCAAATAATATAATTACATATTTACACTTCAATAGTTCTTTTTCCTTACATTTAATAGATAAAGACAGTATTGATTGCAAGAATATTCTGAAAAAGTTCATACTCATCAGAGATCACATCGTTAAAGAGAATCACGAGTATTAAAGTATGAAGGAAAAGTATGTATTGGATGATATCAAAGGTAAACTGGTAGAATCAATCATGATGGATAAAAATGGATCCGTAACTATTAGGTTGCAACCAGTTGCAGATTTTTCAAATCAGTTGCAGTACCATATTAATGATGGTTAACCACAATTTCTGAGACCATTCTGTGACTTGTCCATTCCAATAAGATCTTAAGTCCTGGTTGGTTACATCTGAGCTGATATTGCTGATGAGTTCTAGGTTGCCACCTTTTTGCTTGACACTAGAGACTCAGGCATAGAGAAACCTTTCTTGGTGATGGTGGAAGTGAGTGGTAGTAGTGTTATCAGCATTTTGTGCAGTCAACTCTGGAAAAATAGAAGATAAGTTGTAAAGACAAGTACCAGAAGGAGACGTTTTAGCATTAAATTTTCCTTGCTTTAACCAACGACGCAAGGTGTGTGACGAGATACCAAGTTTCTTAGTTGTTTGGTATGCAGATAAATACATAGGGAAAAGGAGAAAGGAGTGGATTACATTTCAAATCTGATTAGCAAGTCTCGGCAACGGTAATAATGTTTGCCGAAACTATTCTAAAAAAAACCACGAAACTAATTAGAATTTTATAATTGACGAAATATAAAAAAATTGAAAAGTCGAATTTCAGCAAAATTTTTTTTCTTCTTTTTTATACAATATAAAATCTTTTGTCGGCTAAAAAGCTTCATTTTAACAATTATTTGACGTAAAGAGATAAAAAGTATAACACGATCTATTATTTTAGATGATAATCGATCGAATTTTGAGGTGATAATGATTGGTTGATGTAAATGTGTAACATGAATTACATGTTACTTAAACTTCAACTAATGAGAGCTTGCTCGTGATCACCAATAGACACAAAAAAAAAAAATTTTTTTTCCCCCTTTAAAATACAGAGAATGCGCAAAGGAAATTTTTCATTTGAAATTCTTGTTGACAATGAAATACTACCAGAATATGAGATGCAATCGAGTGATAAGTCTAAGCAGACCAGATCTAGAGAAAATCAGAAAATAACTTATGTAGCGGTTCCACGTTCTACTTGTCACTTTTGCATAAGAGTTGGAGTTCTCTCTCCTTTAGGCTCAATGGTTTATAAAGGAATACATTATGTCGACGGTCAAAACGATGATACATATATGGAACTTGATCCCTTAAATGAAGACCCTTATACATATATATACGGTTTCTATAACTACGACAAGACAATTTTTCACAAATTCAAATTTGATACGAGTTATTGGAATGAGCATAATATTTTTGTTTCAAATATTCCAACAAGATGTACAAAAGAGCCTATTGTTAAGAAAGACTTTGGAGTGATGTCTGTTTATATATTTCCTGCCGAAAGACTACCAGGGCAAAGATTTATGACACAATGTCAGAATAATCAAGAAGTGATGCCAGAGTTACCGGATAACGTTGATCCTTTGGATGTAATTTTTTTAGATGAACCACAGAAGGAGCCTATGCCAAACTTAAAAGCTGTCTCTGACAAACCGATTGCTGAATTACATATTCGTTATCAAACGAAAGAATGGCTGCGGGATAAAGGATTTTCAATTGAATCTCCAGTATTGTCTAATATTCCAAATCCTACGCTGTTTGAAGATCAAGGGTCTAATGATGAGAGTGAATTAAACTTGGAAGAATCTGAAGACGGCGAAGAGAAAGAATTTAACAAAGTTTTTGTAACGATAGATGATCAAAACTTTTCATCAGTAATTTATAATAATGATATGGAAATTGAAAGCAATCACAATTTTGAAGATGAAATTGGGACAAAAGTTCTTGAAGATGAAGAATTTGGAAGCAAGTGTATTAAAGAAAAAAACAGAGCTGAAAGTGAGAATCCGAATCATAAGGTTGTCAGAAAGAATACGAAAAGTAGTATACTCGGTAAAAAAATCACAGCAGAAAGTAATATGGTAAATGAAGTTCAAGTGGTTATTGATAACAGGTTGAATGGGAGGTTGAAAGAGAGATATAGCGAGAAATTTAGTGATAAATTTCGAGAGGACTCAATTAATGATAAGGAAGGGAAAAGAACAAACATTAATAATATTATACGGGGTGAAGATGGAAAAGGCGAAATGGTTATTGATAAAGTTGAACTTGAAAATGATAAAGTCCTAGAATTAATCGATTTAACAACCGACTCTCCCAAAGAAATAATTGAGATTAGCGATGACAATGATGATGATGATGATGATGATGATGTGATATTAGTTGAAACAGTTAAAAATTTTCTTCCTACAACTGTCAACAAGAAGAAACATAAGAGCAAGAAGATAAAATATTATAGCGATTCGAGTATTGATTGGAATAGTGACGATAGAAGTGATTACAGCGATTCTTCCAGTAATGATGAATTTGTTTCATTGTCAAAGAAGAGACTAAGAACGTGAATATCATAATAATAGTTGTTAATATTTCCTGTAAGTTATGTACTTTTTATAGAAGCTATAAGGGAAATGCGTAAAAAAATTTTATTAATGAATAACGATAGATTAATCTAATTTTTGTAATTTATATTGTATATATAAACAATAAATATTATAAATATTCGAATGTATTCGCGTGAAAATTGTGTTTTATAAAAGTAATATGCTACGGTCATGTGACATTCATCTGATGATCATTCAGATGAATCCCATAATTTACCAAAATTCAAATTATAATATAAATAAGTTCAAACTTCATAAACATAGATCCCCATCTTTGTGCACGGGCATTATCTGCGCCAGTGAGGAGTTATCCGAGGCCAGATTATTGCTAATTGCAAACTATACCAATATACGTCTTTACGACGCCTGCAAAGGTGTCGGAAAGCAATATTTGGAAGGGGGAAACCCTTTATTAAGAATTATTAGCGGGTTTGGGTGTGTTATAAAAGAGGGTGATACGGTCAGATAAATTACTATATATATCATTATTTGAAGATTGCTTTGCTTTTTTTTAAGCGTTTATTTGACGTGAAATTAACGTGAAATTTTAGTTTATCACGCGCATTAAAGCAGAGAATGTACTCGTTACCAATATGGATATGTTTAAAGTTAACATTTGAAACAAGTTGGGTTGAAATCTATCTAAGCAAGAAATTTGCAATAATTTATGTAATATAATGGTACTAGCATTATTTCCGGGGTAAAAAAATTTTTTTTTTTTTTGCAAGAATTTACTTAACCATAATAGTACTAGCGTCTTTTTTTCTAAAATTGTCCGACCATAACCGAAAAATTTATAATCCAAGGATTACGTTAAAAAAAAAATTTCGCCACTGTTAAGAAAAATGTCGTCATTGACAGTGGTTTCACGTTTTGGGTTAAAAAGCAAGTATTACTAATCCATTGTACGAAATCCTGATTATCTATACGGTTTATATATTCATAATTTTCATAAAAGGCCACGTGAAACTACGATTGCGTGATCAAACAAATTTTCCGAAATTTTTTTATAAATAGGAGAATTATGAAATTGAAAAAAATAAAAAAAATTTCTTTTTAAAAAAAAGTAATTCTATAAAACTCTTTATCCTCAATTCCCCAAATTTAATAATAATAATAATAATAAAATGGCTAACATTCCTCATGGCGGCATCCTTAAAGATTTACATGCTAGAGATGCTTCAATACAAGATCAATTATTAGCTGAAGTCGAACATTTACCTTCCATCGTTTTATCCGATCGTCAATTATGCGATTTGGAATTAATAATGAATGGAGGTTTTTCTCCATTGGAAGGTTTTATGAATCAGAAGGATTATCAACGGTTTGTAACTTTACAAAAGAAAAAATATTTTTTTTTTATTAAAAAAAAATTGGATCTTGATCTGCACCGCATATCAAATCGCATGCATATTGACTAAATAGCATTCATACAATATAAAACTGCATACATTCAATTTAATATAAATTGAATAAAATGAAAAAAAACTGCTTAACTTTTAAACTACTTCACGCTTTCCTTTATCTTTACCACCCTGTTTCCACCTCAAACGCTTCTTTGAAACGCTAGATTGTTGATCTATTAAATTCCTGTAATTTGTAGTGTCGTTAAAGACCTCCGATTAAGTAATGGATTATTGTTTTCTATGCCAGTTACTCTTGATGTATCGCAGCAAGATATTGATAGTTTAGGTTTGAAACCGAAAAAAAGGGTAATTTTACGTGATCCTCGTGATGATGCACCATTAGCCATTATAACTATACAAGACATATATACACCTGATAAAATTGAAGAAGCTACCAAAGTTTTTGGTGATAATGATATCGCGCATCCTGGAGTAAAATATTTACATGAACAAACGAAACAATTCTATGTGGGTGGTTCTATTGAAGCCATTCAAGCTCCAAATCATTACGATTATGTTGCTCATCGATGTAAGACATCACATTGATATTTTTGATTTGGTGTACCATTTCTAAAAAATTTTCGTTATTTTTTTTTAGACACTCCGGCCGAACTTCGTGCTCATTTCAAAAAACTTAATTGGACTCGAGTCGTTGCTTTTCAAACACGTAATCCTATGCACAGAGCTCATAGGGAGTTAACAGTTCGAGCAGCACGTAATAGGCAAGCAAACGTTTTGATTCATCCTGTTGTTGGTTTAACCAAACCAGGTGATATCGATCATTATACAAGAGTGAGAGTTTATCAAGCTCTTATGCCTAAATACCCTAATGGAATGGCTGCATTAAGTTTATTGCCATTGGCCATGAGAATGGGAGGTCCAAGAGAAGCCGTTTGGCATGCCATCATTAGAAAAAATTTTGGTAATACGCATTTTATTATTGGAAGAGATCATGCTGGACCTGGAAAGAATTCTAAAGGTTCCGATTTTTATGGTCCTTATGACGCGCAGGTAAAAATTTTTTATTTATTTATTTTTTTTTTTAAAAAAAAAAATCTCTTTGATCTTAACAATCACATGATGGAATTATAGAAACTTGTCGCGGAATATAAAGATGAATTAAAAATTGAGGTGGTACCATTCCAAATGGTAACATATATTCCTGACTCAGATGAGTATATGCCAGTGGATGAAGTACCAGAAGGTACAACGACATTAAATATTTCTGGCACAGAACTAAGGAGAAGATTAAGAACGGGTGGTAATATCCCTGAATGGTTTTCCTATCCTGAAGTTGTAAAGGTTTTAAGGGAAACCCATCCTCCAAGATCTAAACAAGGATTTACATTGTTTTTAACCGGTTATTATAATTCTGGTAAAAATTCTATTGGCAAAGCTTTGCAAGTCGTGTTAAATCAACAAGGTGGTAGATCCGTTTCTTTATTATTGGGTGAAACTATTAGACATGGAATTTCTTCTGGTATGTTTTAACTATTTTTAAATGAAGTAATTTATTTTTTTTCTTTTTCTGCTGTCTTAAAAAATTTTTTTTTTTTTTTTTTTTAAAAAGAATTGGGATTCTCCAAAAAAGATCGGGATCAAAACATAGCTCGTATAGCTTTTGTATCGGCGGAACTTACAAAAGCTGGTGCAGCTGTTATTGCAGCCCCAATTGCTCCATTTGCTGAAGCACGTGCTAATGCTAAAACGCATATTGAAACCTATGGAGGTTTCTATTTAATTCACGTTAATACTCCTCTTGAACATTGTATCAAGACTGACAGAAAAGGTGTTTACAAGGTAAAGAGTTTATTATTATTATTATTATTACCTTGATTATTCTTTAGGAAAAAATCATTTTATTAAATGTAACTCTAATATTATTAGAAAGCACAATCTGGTGAGATAAAAAATTTCACTGGAGTTGATGATCCTTATGAAGCACCAACTGATGCAAGTATCGTCGTTGATGTTAGTAAACAAAGTATTAGTGAAATTTGTCATCAAATTGTATTGTTACTTGAAAAAGTACGTGGACGTCTTATTTTTATTATTTTAATTTTTTTTTTTTTAAAAAAAAATAATTTATTAATATTATATCATTTTTTTATTTTTTTTTATTAGGATGGGTATATTGGAGAAAGATAAATGGAAATGTCATGATAATTTTGGACTTTGTACTTCTATATATAATTTATTTATTTAGGTTCATTTAAGATATTTATGTTGGTTAAAAAAAAAATTTTTTTTTAATTTAGTAAATTAAGATCTGTACAATTACTAAAAGACAATAAAAGAATGAGCTTATAAAAAATTTAAATGAACAGAATCAATATTTAATAGAAAAACCTTTTCCTTTTTTATTAAAGTGCTCTTCAAAGTGTTGATTTATTTACCCCAGATCGACTTTAATATCTTTTTTATTTAGAACAATCTAAATTGTAAACTTTAAATAATTTAAATTAAAGTAAATATTTATATACAAAAAAATATATAAGAAAATATAAAATGCCAATTAAAAATGCGGTAATATATATATGATCTTTTTGTCATTCACATGATTGTATAAAATGTATAATTTTTTAAAGATGTTGATCATTCTAATGGAGCCACATAGTTTGCAGGGAATTGACCTGTTACGCCATCAAGTATGCCTGAGAGAAAAAAAAGGTAATAATATAATAATAAAATGGTTAACTTTATTTTAAATGTATTCCTTTTAAAAACAATTAATTTATATATTTATACCTTCCCACCATCCTTCAGCAACGTCTCTATTAGTAACCTGAATAACATCTCCCTCTTTTATTGTTAATTCTTCAGGTGATTGTGACTCATAATCATAGAGTACTTGAACTAATTTATAAAAGAAATATGTTATCAAAATCTAATTATAACGTGTAAGATTTTTAAATTTAATTACCAAAATCATGATATTCGATGTATGATGCTGGGACTAATCCTTCCTTTCCATTATAAAAAGCCTAAAAATAAATTTAAGATAAATATATATCTTCATGACAAATATTACAATAAGACATTAATTCATACCTTAACCCACCCGGACCCATCTATAATAATTTTGTTTTATTTTTATTTTTTTTTTTAGTTGAGATATTTTTTATATTCCCACAAACGATGTAAAATAAAAGAAAATAAAGCTTTACCGTCCAATTCAAAAACTGTGATAATATCACCAGCTGATATACTAAGCTCTTCTTCGGTATCAGCGATATAGTCATATAAAGCTTCTGCTTTCCATGTATCCCCTTCTCTATCTGTTATATCTGCTATAGACTGAGTTAATGGTACTGTTGTATTATTAGACCTTGCTATATTATAATTGTACGAATGTTAGATTGAAAGAAAAAATTTTTTTTTAAATTAAAAAATTTATATCTTACAGGAAAGAGTTCCCCAAGGTGATCCTGGATTTGAGAATGTTTGAGCAATTCCTCTGACAATGTTACCTCTTTGTTTAGTACAAGTAGGAGGAACTTTCATTTCGCATCTTGCATGACAATTGTAACCACAATCTAAAACGGGAAGCTGATTATCAACATAAGGAACAAAGATGAATTTCTAAATTACCAAACATTAAAATGTAATTTACCTTTACAAGTAAAACCTTGTTTTGCGATACCCCAGATGGTAGTTTGACATAAATCACAAGTTGTGGGAATTGCAAATGATGCATTTTTGAAATCATGAATTTCGTGATCAGATCCAACATCTAATAATATCGAATAGATGAGAGAGTTTTCACGGAAAACTTATAAAATATGATAATATATTTTTTTTAACTTGCCCCCAATGGCTTCTATTATAGAGTCAACTTGAGTTTTATATTTGACTCTGTTTGTCTCTAAGATAGTATGCTCTCTAATTGTTCTATGCAGATTCTTCAAAAGAAAAATGTAAATCAAATCATTGTAAAAAAAAAAATAAAAATAAAAATAAGAGAACAATGATTAAATAAATAATAAATACATCAGTAACAGCATCTGCATCACCAAGTTTTGAGTTATTTTCATATGCCTCTTTCAAAGATTCCATACCATCAATTTCTTTTCTCTTGGACTCGATCTCTAAAGCTAGTTTCTCCAAATTCCGCTTGGCTTTAGAAAGTTTGTTGCTAAGGTAAACTTGAGAATTTTCATCATTGATCAATTCTTCCTGGCGAAACGTCAAATGTTATAATTAGAAAAAATCAGGAGAATTTCTTTTAATGAAAATAAATCAAATCACTAACAGTATCCTCGAATATGGAGGAAGGTTCAAAATCAAAATCTGTAGGTTCTTCCCAACTTCGCTTGTTATATCTTATAAATAATTGTGAATCCGCGTGACTATCAATATTATTAATTGCTAGACGTGCCATATCAGCATGATTTTTGGAATCACTTAACAAAGCTAACTCAAAACCCATATAATCATCCCAAATGTTTCTCACTGCTATTATCCTACTTTCATTAAGTTCTTGTAATTGCTATTATAGAAACCAAAAATTAATATACCTAAATATACCAAGAAAACTAAATCTGATTAAAAACTTTAATTACGTTGATAAGGGCGGGCACGTCCGAATGGTAGTATTTCTTTTTGAGTTCATTAGAAACACGTATAGCCAAAATATAAAGGTTCTAAAAAAATTAAATTGGAAAAAAAAAATTAAATTAAATTATTTAATACCTAATTAATTATAAAGAAAAAAATTCAACATTACTTTGTTATTATTCATTTCAATTTTATCCTGTGCTAACTGATATTGTAACTTTTGTAAAGGAAAAAAAATATATATATATATTAAATATTAAATATAACAATCGGAAAAATATACAATATATATAACAGTATATGTGAAGAATGCTAGGAAATCAGGTACTGGTAATTTTTAACAATTAAGACTAATTAGTTTTTGATTAGATTAAAATGAGAAATTTTAGTTAAAAATTCCCAAAACCCGATTTTCCTAATAATATTGATAATATCATCCCATATATATTTTTTTTAAGAAAATAAAATATTACTTTATCAAATATTTTATCATCCGATGCTCGTTCAAGTTTTTGTTGAGAATTTTGAACTTCTACACAACATTCATCATAACGAGTCTTAGACTAATGAATCAAATTATATCTAATTAATAATATGACTTTTTTTTTTTAATAATATATATAATTTCATTAAGAATTACTTTTTTCCTTTCGGTATACGCTTTATCCCTTTCATTAATCAATTTTTGTGCGAATTCCATGTGCTAAGATGAAAGAATAATTTCGTTAATAATTATTTCACGAAAAATCTATTTTTAATATATATACCTTTTTTCGAATTTCTTCCTTTTTTGCAGATACTGTCCTCACTTTCTCTATCACACGCGTTGATAATATATCCGAAAATTTTGCCCGCTCTTTTGCAATATTTTCTGTTTCGTCTAAAATAACTGACCATGCCTTTAAGAAAGTACTTTGGGTGTGAAAAGGATCAATGGTCTATAAATGAAATTAACTAAATTCTACATATATCAACTTAAACTCGATACTTACCTAGAATCAACATCAAATTCACTATCGTTTTCTTTTTGGGAAGTTGAAACATCACCAACAGTCATTGCTAATGCCTTTTTATCCTTTTTATTTGAATGCTTTTTAACAAGTATTTCAATTTTCTGTGCATATTCCTTTTCGATTTGAGCACGCTCTTTAATAAAATCCTTAAACTCATTTAAAAATTGTATACCACTCTGAACAAATTGATTAACTGAAGAAACTTGATCCTAATTGCGAAGAAATATATATATATACGCATTTATTATTATTTAGTACAAAAAACTCCGACTAATCTTCCAAAATGGGTTGTTTAACCATTCAAATAAATACCTTTAATTCTGTTCCAAAATTCATTTTATTATTCTCAGAATTGTGTTGATCGACATTTAATGATATAATTTAAATTCATCCCTTTTATGGGAGTGGACCGTTCCGAATATGTCATAATTAGTTATTATTTATTTATTTATTTATTCGCATAACGCTTTCGCTTATTTTTCTTGTTTTTCTTTTTAATTTATAAATTATCAATGTCGGAAAATAATGAAAAAGAAACTCAAATTTCTTCCAAACGTTCTATGCCAAAAGATCGCGACATTTCACGAAATAATAATAATACTATGACGGATAGTAATAAAAGTGATATGTCACGAAAATCTTTGAATAAACATTTGCGAAAGCCGAGCTTTACGAGTAATAATAATTCACGAGTTTCTTCAACAATGTCAGTTGACCATCTACCTCGAAATGCAAGGCAGAGTATCTTTTATTTAACTAGAGGATATTTTGAAAATCCGACGAAGATTATATTCCTAATTGTATAATTATTTTCGAATTTATATGGAATATTTTATCTTTGAAACGTTTTCTGCCACATCTTAATCTTTTTAAATATTATATTTATAGTGGTGTCTCTAATGATCGGTTCGGGGGCGATCTATGCAGCGATGACAGCCATGAACTTACATATGAAGATAACTCAAGCGAAGATGAGGAAAACGATAATCTTCAAGAGGTAGATATACACAAGACCTTTGTCTAAGTTTTCATAATGATATATCGAAATTTTAACATTTTCTTAATTTCTTAATAGAATTTCGATCCATTTAAGCATTTTCATCGTAAAGAGGATTCCTTAAGAACACCTTTTCAACTTAAATGTTATTATTTCTTTGAAGAACCAATGACCAAATGGGGAAGAGCGTTTGTAGTATTTTCATCTACATGTACGATTGCCGTTGTTGTAATGATTTGTATCATTTCTTGGCCGACCATGAACATACTAGAACCCAAGACTTATAAAGAAATTTGGTATAGATCAAATAAATGTCGTGTGAATTGTTCATAAAGCATTTCATTTATTTATTTTCCTAAATTCTGTAGGTTTCCACTTGATATTATAGTCCTTATCACTTTTACTATTGAATATCTTGGAAGATTTTATGCTTCTATAAATAAATGGAAGTTTTTTTATCGTACGTATGGTGAAATTAATTTGATTTAACTGACTCAGTCACGATAATTGCAACGCGTTTATTATTCAAATTAAATTTAGAACCGATGAACTTGATTGATTTAATATCAATAATACCGTTTTACGTTCATTTGTTGACCATAACTAGCGTACATCAGGTTTGTAGATGTGACGTGGAATTTACGATCATATATTATTGACTTATCTTTTAATTTTGCATTTTTAGTCCTTGTTACAAGTTATTAGAGTGTTGCGTTTATTCAGGCTTCTAAGATTATTTCGTGCTGCAAAATACTCGGCTGGCTTTAACGTATGATTTTTTTTTAAAAAAAGTAATTTTTTTACCTTTATCATTGTTAGCTTCGCTAAAAATTTTATTCAAAACTGTAGATCACAGCAAAAGTATTTCAGCGTTCTGCTTATCAAATTGTTATGGTGTCTGTATATTTATTGGTGATATTGTTGACATCTTCGGCTTTAATGTTTTATATTGAACGCGGCGAATTTGATAAACGTAATTTGACTTGGTACCGTATCGGAGAAGATGGAAACAGTGAAATTAGTCCCTTCCAATCGATTATTCACTCTTTTTGGTGGTCGATAGTTACACTTACTACCACGGGCTACGGCGACGCGGTTCCGGTCACTGGTCCCGGCAAATTAATTGCAGCATTAACCATGACATGTGGTATTCTAGTAATTGCACTCCCAACTTCTATTATCGGATCAAACTTTAACGCTGAATGGGCCTTTCAACGTCGACTTCAATTTCAATTGAGAGTGCATAAAACACGAGAACAAGCTAAATCTCTTATAGAGATCGGGGAGAACAAGAATAAAAAGATCAAACTTCTTCAAAATCAAAATAAAACCATGCTTGAAGGATTAGCGGAAATTCAAGAAAGACTATCAGAGATTAATCCACCAAGGTATTACCGAAAGTATAAGAACCTTCAAATAAAACATATTGAGGCATTAGACAAAATTACAGAATTAGAGAATAAGCTAGAAAGATGGAAACGTATAGCTAAAAATCTTGGATCATTCAATAATTATGAATCACCACCGGATGATAAATCGGATGCTGATCAAACTGTTTTAGTTCAAGGTAAACGGAGTAAATGGAAATGGAAGAATGCACCCTTCCGAACGTCCTCACAACTAAGTATGCGCAAAGCTGCGACTGAATTGGATGATAAAGATAACAGCGTATTAAAATCGAAGGGAATATTACATCCTTTTAGAACATTAAGTAATAAAATTGGAAAATCGGCAACAAGTATAACAACGCGGAAACGTCAACCCTCAGGACCGATTACGAGTGAAATGATAAGTTCTCCTACAGAATTACGACATACATTCAATCCAATAATTGATTCAGAAAGAGACTTTACACGTCGCAGCTCTCGTCCTATGCTAAATAGGACATCAAGTGAACCCAGTGGAGATTCAAATGCATTTGCTAGTAGGTCTGATAAAGATGAGAGTAACATTGATGAGAATAATGTTTTGGTTAAAAATCAAGCATCTTGTTCTCCTGAAGACAATATATCAACAAACAAAGCAAATCAGGACAATATACAAAAGGACGGTATTGAAATCATTATTGATGATCAAAATACGCGAAGTGTTACAAATAATAATACAGAACATATAGAGAATTCTAAATATAATAAAGATACTATTTAATTATAATTTAACTCGTAGAATAATTGATTTAAACGAATGAACGTGTATTATGTTTATTTTATTTTAAATTGTTAGGCTTTGTTTCACCCCTTTTATATCCTCAAATTATTAATAATTATTGTAAGAAAAGAAATTCTTTTTTGAATTTCTCATGCGAGTAGTGGCACAGCTAACGCAGTTTAAAACAGTATGCGCATGGAAGTTACGAATTCAATGAAGACTTTTTAACTTACTGCAGCTATCGATGCAATTAGGGTTTGTAGACCTGCTTTTATTTTTAAAAAAAAGGCTCGTCTTAAAAAAAATGTCAAAGTTCATAGACCATATAACAATCAAGTTATTCAATATCGTGATAATGATGATAAAAGATTCGAAATGCCGAAAATAGTTTTCATTGTAGCCGAAATTAAAATTTTCATAGTAACGGGTGAATTCCGAGCCAAACAATAATGATGTAATTGGGCTTAGCCAAAAATGCTTGGATTTTATTACGGGTTTTCAATGAAGAAAATAATCTATTTATAAATTTTAATCTCAAATATAATAGGGAACTTACTGCGCCAAATCTATTTAACGAATGTGCCACGATACTCGTTCTGGTGAACGATCATCTTAATTTCCAATGCTTGATTTCCCATTCATTGAATTCCACGAACATTTCTTTGTGATACACCCCCCTTGCAACAATGACTTCCATTTTTAAATCGGTACACGTGTCTGGTACATAAAGTAAATAAATGCGAAACGTTTAAGAAAAACGATAAAAAAAAAAAAATTTTTTTTATTTTTTTTCGCTTGTAAAGTTGTTATACAATATGGCATCGAAAGTTTGGCTTGAGGCCACCCTTAAGAACGGATATATAAAGTTTATTGAGTATGATTCATTTGAAGATATAACACCTATACCCATACAGAGTAAAAACGCATCATCGAACAAAAAATTATGTTGGGCCAATTGGGGTAACAATCATAAGAATAATAAGTTGCACGTTGCTTTAAAAACTTGGAGATTAAATTACGACAATATCGATCATGACGCCGTAGAAAGGTTTGTTAATGAGGTATTTAATCAATAAACCTACTTTTTTCTTCGTTTTCATATTTTATCGAGAGATAGTAATTAAATTCTAACCTTTTTTCCCCAGTTGACATTATTACCAAAAGTAAATTTTCACGCGAATATAATAAGATTCTTTGGAATGAGTCATGTTTCCTCCAGCGATACATATTATCTGGTAACACAATATGCTAATGGCGGTTCGTTACGACAACATTTAAAACGTAACCATCAACAGTTAACGTGGTGTGATAAGACTCGAATTATCATGGAAATAGCAACAGGTTTACAATGCATACACAATGAAGGAATATCACATAGGAATCTGGTACGCTAATTTGGTTAAGAGTTAAGTTAATCGATAATCAAAAGTCACCAATCATATTTTTTATCGCTTTTGTAGCACCCAAATAATGTACTGGTTCATGATGGAAGAATGATGATAGCAGATTTGGGTTTCTCGGATACATGGCATAATTCAACGACGCCATATCACGATGAGATGATTCCGTTTTTAGAACCTTTGTTCTTACAAGATAATTTTTATCAAAGGGACAAGAGATCGGATATTTATAGCTTGGGTGTGTTAATGTGTGAAGTATCAAGTGGGCGTCCTCCATTTGAATCAACGGCATCAAATTTTCATCTATTATTGAGAATAATAATGAACGGAGAAAGAGAATCAACCATAATACCAGGAGCTCCGTTACAATATGTGCAACTTTATCGACATTGTTGGGATGGTGATCCAAATTTACGCCCTATCATACACGAAGCTTTAAAAAGATTGAACGAAATGCAATTGGATTCTTCTTTTATTAAACCTGGAGAAGTTCGTTTTAAACTTGATCCTATTCCCTTGAAGAATATTGGAACTTTATCAAATAATAATGGAAAACGATTGATTAAGAGGCACTCTCATCCAAATATACAAAATATCTCACCATCTTTACCTCCTACAACATCCCCAAGGACCACTCCTCCTCATCCTTTAGACTCTATAGGTGAATAAATTTACCTGTAAAGTTAATTTATTAATTCAGTTGATAAATTTATATATCTATCTATTTATGTATATTTTTTGTTTTTAGATTCTGCAAATGATATCGGAGATTATGTCGTAATCGATAAAAATGAATTGTCAGGATACACGCAACCAAAACCTGTTCGTATATGATTATTATATTTGAAGGTTGAATTTTTGATTTTCTTAACCTAACGTATCTTTTTGTCTTAAAAAAAAAAAAAAAAGAATTTATCGGATAGTGACTTAACGAGGAAGAGGTATGAAAAGGCAAAAAGCTTGAATCTTCGAAATCCTCGCATGAGTCGAACATCATATGGAGATAGAAATGATGTATATATGCAACGTGAAGAAAATGATGAAGTAAAAGACGTATTGTTTGAAAACATTTCAATAAATAATTGTCAGCAACCACAAATATTATTGGTAGCAAGGTATTCTCCGGCAAAGAAAATAATATCAGCATTTGAAGTGTTAAAGAAGAATGGAGTGAATTTGAGGGATAAAGACATCAAAGAGAAAACGGCAATACATAAATTAATTTGGAATGACGATTTATTCGAAATGAATATTGGATTTGCATCAGCAAAATATCCAAGACATAATCATTTTAGAGTAGCATTAAAATGGTTATGCTCCAATAATATTAATATTAATTCAACGGACGAATTTGGGTGGACTCCATTGCATGAAGCAATATGGAAAAGAAGAGAATCTGGTATCATATCTGCGTTACTGGATCATAATGCGAATCCGAACATAACTGATAAACATGGTTCAACCGCACTTCATCAATGTTTAAATCTCTTGAGGATGACGACAGACGATTCAGAAAAATCTCAATTATATGATTGTATAAAATTACTTTTATCTAATGGCGCCAATCCAAATTTATCACTGCCGGATCATACTCTGACATTGTCTGGAGTTCCTTTCCCAAATTCTTTATTTGCCGCCGTTTATTTGGATTTACCATTGGATATTATTGAATTAATGGTAAAAAAAGGTGGTGATGTTGCATCAACCTCCTTTCGTGGATTATATTTACTGGATTTTGCGGCTAAAGTTAATAATATTCGTGCTCTAAAATATTTAACTGATCACAAGAATTTCTTTGGGAAAAAAAGTATTTTTAACGCTTTAAAATATCCTGTTAAATCGTATACCATCAAACATGAAAAACCTATTAATAGAGGTAGAAGGTTTCATAATAATATTTCCACCGTTTGAAACGTGATTAGTTACTGATATGTTACATATTATATAATCTCATTAAAATATTTAAATATTGAACATTATACCATAATTAATTGTAAAGTAACTGCTTTTTATGATCTTATTTTTTTTATTTGATTTATTTATTTTCTTTTTTTAGAATTTGTTTTTATTTTATTATTTATTTTTTTTTTTTAAAATAAAATTTGTATTATATTTTCATGCCGCATCATGATATAAAGGATAAATGAAATCCATGTATGATCATGTTTGATTTCATAATAATCAACTTTTTTAGGTTGTTTTTTTTTTCATGTTAAAAGTGTGTCCATATACAACACAAGATTATTTATTTATCTGGTCCCAAAAAAAAAGACCATGATAATTTCTTTTTCTTTTATTTATTAGGGGTTGAATTTCATTTTTGTTTCTATTAAAAAGAAATAATATAACAACATAATCAAAAGAATCAATTTTTTAGCATGTGATTCAAATTTCAATTCTTTTCTATTTCATCTTTAAATAAACTACCATTAAAAAAGGTATATAATGAGCTAATGGATCTACATTTGTGGTTAAATGAATCCAAAGTGATCGTATCAATCGTATTAATGAATATTCTTGCATATCAATTGTATTGTAAAATTTATATAATAAATGGCGACGTTTAACGTTACCTATCGTTTGATTTCAAATTCTTTGTATAAATAAAAATATTTTTATTAAAAAAATAATTATTAAGACACTTAGAAATTTAAGAATGTATAAGAAATATACAAGATTTGTTCAAAAAATTTGTTACAAAAATTCTCATTAATACATCAAGATTAGACTTTGAAATGCCAGCAATGTTGAAAATTTTGGCATTTGGAATAGGATTGCAAATGAAATTAATAGACAATGCCAAGAAGAAAAAGGGTTGGAAATCCGGAAAGATTTCCAATAAGAAGCCCAAATAGATTTGATGTGAAACATATAATGTTATGCAAGATAAATTTTGGTTGCCTCAAGGTATGTTTTTGACAAGTTTGGGCAACTCTTCTGAAATCAAAAGTACAGAAAAATTTATAACGTAAAGTCATTTAGATTCGGACGTTGAATAGACAATATTATTTGTTTGAATTGAACGCCAACTCCACAAATTTATCCTACAGCCAAATAGGTTTAAACGTGCTGAAGCTATAAATAAGCTACAATTGTATAATTATTATTGACATTATACTATCACAAAAATAGCTCTTTAAATTGATCGACATTCATTAAAATTTCTAATTGTGGATATAGCCTTCTTATTTACTTTAATATTATTAATTTTTGTTGAATCAAATTTTATGAATTTTTGATTGATGATAATCAATTTTTTGTTTATTAGTATTAATTAGCTTTTAATAGTTTTTATTTCATAAGAAACCATTTTATAGTAGAAAGTTAAATATATTAATATATTTTAGATTAGATTATTTGTTACTCACAATCATAAAACTTATATACTTGATAAAAGTTTATAAAAAGGAGTTGGATTATTAATTAATCAATAAATTTTATATAAAATTTAAAATTCAATTCTTAGTAAAATCTGATTACAGCTAATTTTATACAGAGGGTACCCAAAAGTTTCCGAACGACTTATTAGGTAATCAATAACTATAAAAAGGAGTGATCGGCATTTAGTTTACTTATATATAAACATTATGTTTGCATATTATGTAATAAATCACCTGATTTATTTACTTCGCCACGCTTCGCAAAAAAAAAAAAAAATGGGAAACAAAAATGAATTAACCACAGAACAACGTGGGGCGATATTTTATTGTCGTCAACGCGGAGATTCATACAAAAAAATTTCTGAAACTGTTGGGTGTGGAAAAACAACAGTTTTTGATACATTAAAACGATATAATGAAACTGGTTCTATGGATTCTAAGTGTCGATCTGGACGACCATATTTAATTAACAATAACCAGATTAAAAGGCTAAAACGTTTGGTAACAAATAAAAAAACACAAAACCGGCGACTTTGTGCTACTGGAGTGAAAGAACTTTGGAAAA